TCTGAATTTCCTTCTTGTGTTCGTCTAATCTTGCAATCCAACATTGCTAGCTCACCTTCACTTTCTAAATCACAAGTAACTTCGATTGCATTCACTACAAAATTTATATGTGCCAAGAACCTATCGATATGTTCTTATTTCATTACTGTAAACGTATCATCTACATATCGTAACCATATCTTTGGAATAGGACTAAATGTTTGAATGGCTATCTGTTCCCAACTATCCATAAATATATCTGTGACGGTAACCGAATCTTTGTTTATCGAACCAACACCAAATATATGCATTCGAAATGATTCTTCACCTATCCAAGATATATGGAAAGTTCTACTAGCCTTGTCATCACAGAGAAGGAGAGCAAGTTAGGAATATATAAAGTCTGTCTCGAAGTTACCTGATATGAATATGAACAATGAATTGCATCCCAAAACGTTATCCAGTAAATGCTACTGTTTCACTGTGTGATATTTCTAATAAACAAACTAAAATGGAATTACAATCGACCACAGGGCCCAAGTTTGACTCTTGTATTGATAAAAACTTCGACATTTATCAGAATGAGTAGGTTTCCCTTTAAATTCTAATTCTAAATTCCCGCTTCTGATGTCCTCTGGATAACACGACAGTCCAGCAAATTCAAACTTCCTATATTCGATTTGGTTTCATTTGTTAATTTTTAATTAGACTTCAAAATCGGGTTTAAGTCTTCCAAAAACTTTTTATATTCTACTATTTCAATGATGAAAAAGATATCATCTACATATCTATACCAAAGTTTAGGTTAACAATGAAAACTACTTAATACTTTCTCTTAGATCATCTGGTAGCCTATGTGAACCTTGGGTTACCAAAATGTCCCACAGAACATATATGTCGAATTCTTTGCTTTCAATTTGTTTTATTCATTCAACTACATCTTTGAAACGTGTTATAAACTGTTGCACAGTTTTAAAATATCTTCACTAAACCATTTCTCGAGTACATAACAAAACGAAGAAAAAATATGAAGTTCAGTGGGAATGAACTTTTCATTGTACAAAAATTCATCATATTTCTACGCCTCAGACATGATCAGCTTGAATAGTCAATTCTTGTATTGGTTGAATAAATCATCACCATGAAACCTACCTTCGATTGTCTATACACCCTTCATTCTACATAGGAAGTTAATCCAACATCAGCTGACTGTTCAACATTATTGTCTTTATTATTGTTGTTATCAACATCACTTGGATGCAGTAATCATTTCGTTTGAATATATTCTTCTGATAGTGAACTCGTGTTGCGAATTCTATACTGTACAAAAAAGCGATTATTATCATTATTATTATTAATGCCTTTATATGTGTAAAGTAGAAACAATTGGAAATGTTGGAGAGCCCATTGTAATGCTGTTTGTTTGACAGTATAATTTATCTATAAATATAAAGTATATTGATTCTAAACATAATATTAAGTATTTCATAATGTCTCCTTTTGACAATCGATATCCAATTAATAATAATTGATGGTTATCAAGTACATCTTTTACAATGTTAAGTGTATCATGTATAGAAATATTGGTAAAACGAGAAATCACGTCAAAACTTGTCATAATTTCATCTGTCGTATTATCCATTAGTTTATTTTTGAATTCTTCGGCGTTTCTAATATTTAAAGTAATTATTATTATTATCATATTATTTGTCCCTTTAGTTCTTAGTGGAACATAACGATTCAGTAGCACGTCTCCACTACACTCTGTTCTCTGCAAACTTTTGTACCTGGCTCCACGACAGCCCACAAGCTCTCATTTCTTCCTCGCACTATCTCCTCCAAGTCACCCTCGGGTGCTCAACTCGCCGTCCCCCATCTGGGTTCCACTTGAGGGCCTGGCCTGGAGCGTGATGTCCCTAGTCGGCCTTCTCAGTGTATGCCCAATCCAATCCATCTCCACTTCCTTCCACTGCATATTTGTTGAGTGATAGGTTCTTAGTTGGTTTGTTGACAGCCAGCCAGAGTTCCTTGTTGTTTATCCTTATTATTCTGGCCATCTGATCTTCAGTAACGAGCTAGCGTAGGCAGTTGTTGATGCACGTCTATAGTTTGTTGGGAATCCCTTTCGTAACGCGCCAAGTCTCTCAACCATCACACAGAAGCACTGACTTGACGTTGGTATTGAAAATCCGAATGTTGTTCCACATGCTGAGTGCAGAGGATCTCCACACTGGTTTCAGGTTAATGAACGCGTGTCTTGCTTTTCCGATCCTGGCTATCTTTGACGTCTTCGTCTGTGTCGCCTGTAGTTAAAACAGTGCTGCCTAGGTAGGTGTAGATGAAAGAGGCTATCTCCTTTAAGTTTCTCCCTTTGATGGTGATTTGAGCTTGTTGTTGGTGGTGTTGGTTGTATATCTTCATCACCTCTGTCTTCTCTACGTTCACATGAAGGAAGTCCCGTCTTCGCTGTCTCGCCTCTTCTGTCAACTTGTTGGATTTCGCCTGTAGATTTTCAAGTTTGTGTGTCATTAGACACAAGTCATCGGCGAAATCCAAATCTTCTTCCGGGGTCTTTTCATCGGTCCAGCCAGTGTATCCCGCTCTTCTCGATCCTCACTGTTTGTTACACGATCCAGTCCACTACAATCAAGAATATCATGGTTGATAGTAGGCAGCCTTGTCTTACTCCTTCCTGTCTTCACTTCAAAGGCATCGCATCGCTGAGCTTCCCATTGTGAATTACTTGGCATGTGGCGTCTTCATATGGTTGTTGAATGAGGCTGATAAGGGTTTGTAGTATTCCGTAGTGTTGAAGCAACAGCTGCCAAATTACTTGTCGGTCGACGCTGTCAAAGTAGTATCATAGTAAAATGGTTTCAATAGTTTTGATAAATACTATGTGTTATTGAATTGATGAAGTCCACAATTGGGGTCTGAGCGAAACATCCTTGTTTATGTATTTTAGGTCTCCCGTAAAATCTTGTGGCTGAAATTGGTTTTTTAGGGTTAACGAAAATCACAATGTATTTCCCAGTTTTGGTTTTCATTTTATTTAATGTACTAGAGATCTTACTTATTAATAATGGTTTATATGGATGTGAATTAACATGTTCCAATGCCTTTTTTCAATAATCTTCTCTATTTAGAATAGTTGTGACATTACATTTGTCAGCTCTATTTATCATAATTGATTTGTCAGATTTCGAAGCTTTCAAAGCATAACGTTCTTACTTTATGAGATTTAACGTACCTGGTTTCTGATTTGTAATGATACTTCCGAGTTTTTGTCGTACTATATCAACTTCTTCCTTTAGTAACAGCTATATAGATGATTGTATGACGGAAGGCAGCGCTATCGCTTCTATACGTTTTTTCACCAGATTGGAATTCAATTCTTTCTTTAGCAGTGTCATTTTTTTTCTCCTTTGGTCAAAGCTATCTAAGGATGTATAAACAACTGAGTTTTCACCTATTATTATTATTATTATTATTATTATTATTATTATTATTATTATAATTATTCGGTTAGAGTAAATAAACTTTCAATCCCATCGTCTTCTTCTGGTGTCAACTGAATATCAAGTTGAGAAGTCATTGTTGTATCGTTAATCGTATCATCTCACAGCATTGTATCGTTTGTTATCTATAACGTGGATCATAACACATTTCATTATGTGACATTATATATGCACTGAGAATCTACTTATTTTCAAAATATTAAACAAACATCTATTCGGAAATTCGATTACCTGATGAATTCAAGCAAATTAAATTCAGATAAGGCAAATAACTTAACAGATACAAAACTGGTATGTAATTTGTCAAATAGACAACTGAATGATAATGAAATGTGTTATGATCCACGTTATAGATAACAAACGATACAATGCTGTGAGATGATACGATTAACGATACAACAATGACTTCTCAACTCGATATTCAGTTGACACCAGAAGAAGACGATGGGATTGAAAGTTTATTTACTCTAACCGAATAATTATAATAATAATAATAATAATAATAATAATAATAATAATAATAATAATAATAATAGGTGAAAACTCAGTTGTTTATACATCCTTAGATAGCTTTGACCAAAGGATAAAAAATATGACACTGCTAAAGAAAGAATTGAATTCCAATCTGGTGAAAAAACGTATAGAAACGATAGTGCTGTCTTCCGTCATCATCTATATCGCTGACAGGAGAACTTGATTCTAAGATTGACGGCAAAGTCTTTTCTGTTTATGGATCTTGATAGTCTCTTTCGAAGTATATTTGACATATTATCTTCCTGAAAATCTCGACGCCCAACAATAAAATCGTTTTCGAAGTAGTATGCACGTGTTCCATGCATTCAAGAAAGAACTGAGTGAACTATTCTCATTGTCGTCACATATTAAGCGATGGATCTGTTCAGCAATAAGTGTGTCACTCAGCAATGGTGTACACATTTGTACACTAAGTTATAAACCATATGTTTTGTATCATCTACTGGCACTGTGGATCTATTTGAACTGGTGTAGGTAGAGTGATGTAAACCTTATAACTTGATAATCATGAATTGTGTGTCTAAACGAACTTCCTTAAGACTTTGGTCACTCAGATTTGATAGACGATGGGTTGCAAACGTTAGTGGTGATTTTATAATGAAGCTGTCGTTCTCATGTTGTACAGTATCACAAGTACAAAGTTGTTATTTTTTACTAACTTGTGAATGACATATGACGTAATTATTTCTATTTTGTAATCACTTTTTTATTTCCCTATAAGGTAACTTTCCTTTATGATGCAATTTGTAATATTTACCTTTGACCAGAAATTATTCAGTAATGTTCTATTCCTTTTACTATATAATACTCATGAATGTATAGCTAGTAGAATTATTTCGTCGAACAGAGAAATTTTTCTTCGCTATAATCGTGTTTTTTTTCTATGTTCAAATGGAATTGTTTCGATGTTTAATAACTAAACGCTATAATTATTTGTTTTAACACTCGCTTAATCTTTTTCCACTTTAGGTTGTAGTCTGCCTTATTCTAACAATCATCTTTGCATTGATTCTATACATGCTGTTTCTTCTACTTCTTGAACCACTCTTGTCTACAAGGCGTTTATCGCATAAAACTATGGTTAATATTAATACATGTTCAGAATCTCATCAGATAAATTCAACTACTGACGAAAATAATATTTGTAAGGCAGGTGATGTAAGATCAAGAGGCAACTGGGCTACTATGAATAATATTCCTGCTAGTAGTAGCAGTGGCAATATTGGCAGTAGTAATAATTCATCATTTTCTTCAAAAGCATTCGATAAAGCAGTTATTTGGAATAGATCTCGATTGAATACTGAACAACTCGTCGATTCCAACTTGAAAATAATTAGTAAGTTTCAAGACTGTTGGTTTCACCTATCGTATTATCTGCATTTACTTCTTATTTTTCATGATTTTATCTGTAATACCAATTGGCTATTTGTTTCACGTTGAAAAGATCCGTTGGCACATAATTTTAATAACTCAGATTGCAAAATATTGCTCAGTTTTCAAGCAAATGATATGACTCATAGAAAGTCAATAAGTGGTCCCTGGTTCGAATCCGGCCGTGGTCTAAATTTTCACTTCAATCATTACCCAGTATCGAATTAATAAGTGATAGACGTTAACAAAAAACAAATATCGTTGTACATTTAAGCGATAATTATAATCCAAATGAAGCAGCTATGAATTAGACGAATGAATGGGATGAAATGCTCTCAGCAGCCTTGTGCACATTCGAACATCAGTCAATGAGAAACACCTAATGTATAAGGGTTAATGATACTACCTGGCTACTGAAACCTTGATAATTGAAAGCGGAGCTGTAGTTCATCGGTTTAGGAAGATGACTTTCAAACAATAGGCCAAGGGTTCGCATCTCACTCCACCTGCGGTAATTTGGGAGGCCAGGTAGTATCGTCAGCCTTCACACACTAGGTGTGGTTAATTGCCTAGTGCATGAATGTTCACGAAGTGGCTGAGTGAGCTTCGTTCTTCGGTGGTTGAAGCTGTATTCGAACCCGTAGTCCATTGGTTAAAAGTCAACTTCCTAAAGCAATGAGCCACACTTCCATAGAATCACATGACCTTTGTAGAAAACTAATATCATGATCAAGATTTGGAATCGGGCAACTTCTACCCCTTTATACACTGAATATTTCTTTGACAGAATAAATGATAGAATTGTTACTTGCACCATCCCATTGTTATTCAACGGCTTAGTGAATAAAGCTTTGGCGTTTGGAGCTATTGGTACCGGGTTTGGGTCTTAGTGGGAAGAGTATCGCTCACTGGGATACACATGCACCCAGCTGATGAGTTCGGAGCAGGATGAAACGCACTTCCACTGCTAGCCGCTACCCATAATTAATGAACGATGGAAAGTTAGAAGATCGAACGGAAATGTTTTAGGGTCGTATATTCAGAAGGGAAAAAACAAAACAAGTGATTCTCTATAAATAATCACAGTTATTCTTTATGCCATCTATTAGCGAACATGTTTAACAGATCGTTTTCAGAAAACACCATACCAGCTGCCTGGAAAGATACTAAGATGGTTGTCATCCCTAAATCAGAGACTCCAGGTGCATATACGTAATTCCGTCCGTTTGCAGTTACTTCACTCTTGAAAATAGTGGGGCAGTTAATAATATCTGCGCTTGAACCCTCACTGAATTCTTTCGGAGACCCTAATCAATTGGCATATAAAAGCAGAAGAAGTACTTTGGATGCCACCACTCTCTTATATCACAATATTGCCATGTATGTTCGATGTGACTTTTTATACTATACTTCAGCATTTTGTTCTATCCCAAGACCTCTTTTGCTGGACAAGCTAAATGGGACTAATAGAGTCCTGGAGAATAAGCTGAACGCGGTCCTATTTCTCTGATAAGAAACAACATACCGTTCACAGACGGAAGCGCTCCACCTCATTTCTTACTGTGACCGGTGTTCAGCAAGGAGTTATCCTTTCCCCCTGTCTTTTCCCCTTTCTTCTGCATGACTTACTATCTTCAGTTAGTATCAATCTCATCAGATATGCTGATGACCTAACGGTTTTCATATCTGTCTCTTCTTCATCAGATTGTTCCCAACTGAATGATTTCCTATTGACTGTTAGACGATGATCCGTCCATGAATGGTCTTATGCTTAATTCTTCGAAATGTCAGACGATAAACTTTAGTTTTAGACGTGAACATAACCTGTGTAAACTGCTTAGGTCTCATGATTCCTGTTCTATTGATAGTGTGCATTAGAGAATGTTACAAGTGTTATTTATCTCAGCGTATATTTTTCTTGCAACCTTTCTTCGTGCTCCCATTTCTTACTAATTTCTATATTAGGAAGCTGAGAGTATCTGGCATAACTCAGCCTCTCCTCTTGTGTTTTATAAACTTTGGCATCTTGCCTCTTCTCCTCCATTAATCCCTCTCTGTGCAACTAAACTCACCTCAGATAGTCCTACCAACAGTGGAATTTTTTATATATTTTAGACTTAATAACAACAATGAAATAATACAACTCAGCAACCATATGCAGATTTTAATTGTACTAGACTACCAGTCACATCTGCTGATCACCTAAACGTAGAGTAAGGATAAATACGACTTTAACCCACAACCTAGTGATTGAAATTTGAATATTACCCAAGTCAGAAAGCCGCAATTCATAAATATCTCACTTTCAATGGATACACTTTGTTCTAAATCTTAATGCATAAAATGACTGTGTTATATCTAAATACCAATTTCAGTAATTTACACATCGCCATAGTTTATTCAGAAAAAGGATAATTTGAGCAGAAAATTGTTTTTATTAACTTCTTCTTTAGGTCCCACACTTACAAAACTATGAGAAAAAATGAATCACATTAGTCAATACATTGATTGGTCACTGGAGGGTAACCAACATCATGTTGTCTGGTCCTAATTGCTGACCGAATTCTATCGATCATTTCGCAATGTGGCCACCAGAATAGGCAGCTCAGCATTACGATTCACTTTGGTGGATGTTAGTTGAATGGAGGTGATGCTGAGCTGCCTATTCTAGTGGCCACATTGCAAAATGATCGATAGAATTCGGTCAGCATTTAGGGCTAGACAACATGAAGTTGGTTACCCTCTAGTGACTGATCGATGTATCTAATTCAGTCCTACCGAAAGTCTGTTGTAGCCCGAATAGCTCAATGGTAACGTCGATGACTACAACACTAATTGATGCGGGTTCGAATCTCACGTGGGACTTCAGTTACATTGGGGTTTCAGATACACCTTACTGATGAGTGCCATCAAGCACGAAACCTAGGCAGGGTTTCCTGCCGATTGCCTCCATCCAACCGACAATAGTCATTATAATGTAGAACTATTTAAATATTGAAACAGTCAGTGTTATACTCGGTGAGTGGAGATCAAATCATATACGATTTAGGTTTATATCAAATGGAACATCAGTCAGTCTGGTGCGTTAGTTGTGCAAATGAGATTAATATGTATTTTTGACATGGATTGGAATTTTTTTAATCTAGGAGTAGTATTCACCATGGACTGACATCAGTTGGGGAACCACTGAAAGTCTGGGAGCACTGGACAGCTGTTAGTCCTAGTATGGGACTCCTCAACAGTACGCACCCACAACCCGGCTAGGGATGGAACTCGGAACCTTCAGGTTTCACGGTGAACGCGTTAACCACTCAGGCACTGGAAACCGACCCAGTGGCTGAATGGTTAACACATTCGCCGTGAAACCTGAAGGTTCTGACTTCGATCCCTGGTCGGATCGTGGGTGCGTACTGCTGAGAAGTCCCATACTAGGACGAAACAGCTGTCCAGTGCTCCCAGACTTTCAATGGTTCCCCAACTGATGTCAGTCCATGATGAATACTACTTCGAAATTAATATGAACAGAACAATCACAATATTCAAGTGGGGTGAAAATCATGTGAATACAATAACGAAATAACAAATGTGACATGTTACGTAAAAGTTAAAAATGCGTATTGGTAATGGTATCGATAAACAAGAGCATAAAACTTAATAACATAAGAAAATGGATGTTTATCACTAAAGTGTGTGTGTGTGAGAGAGAGAGAAAGAGATAAAGTAAAAGAATATGATGAGATCCAAGGTTAAAAAGGTGAGATATGTGGCCGAAAAGTTTAAAAAGAACGTGTTGACCCTATTGTGGGCCAAAATAGCTAGAGCAGGTGTACATATTTCTTTCGAACATACAGGTCAGGTTTTCATGTGTTGATTCCTATGGCTTCGACTATAGGTAATAAACGCAGTCTTGCTCCTTCGGAGAGGTTGCATGGAACACAATATATCCCGGAAAGGCATGATCTACCTTAATCTGATGTTTGGTATTTACTAGATGCGAGAGGATTGTTCCGTTGGTCAGCTTTGTCATTCTTTTACTAAGCAACCTGGTACATGTTCACGAGCGCACATGGATAGAGCCTTTTGAGTACGGCCTATGTGACTAGCTCAACAGGAGCAGTTCAACTCATAAATGCGTCATAAAGTGGCCATCATTCATAAACTATCCTTGGTTCGCTATTTCAATTATGGTTTAGTTGAGAAGTTGACGAAATGTTTCACTGCAGTGAGTGTCCTTTCGATAGATCTGCTCATTTGGTGTGTCAATATATCACAGGCGATTTCATCTATGAAACTTAGTCTTAGCAAAGTTTCTCTTCTGTATAATCTCTCTAGGCCTCAATGTGTAATTATTTATGAAGTTTCCTAGACAACAACCATTTTGCTGAAATGTTGTCTGTCTTCAGCTTATCCGTTTCTTCCATATAAAACCATCAGTACATATATTTTATATTTTATAACTGAGGCATTTGACTAGATTTCTTTTATATTGTGGTGTCGTGGACCTATGAAAATGAATAAACTGACCAGTTCATGTATTCCTTCTAAAAATATTCCTCTTAATATACACATTCGTCTTCCTTGTGAGGAGGATATCTAGGAATGATATACTATTCCTTTGTTTTCCTTCTCAGGTGAATTTCATAGATGAATGCACATTATTGAAAACATTCAGTTAATCGTCTTTGTTGAAGTCATTGTTACAAATTACAAATGCAGCATCTGCATACCGGTAATAATAGTCTAGCTTATCAAGTGTATCCCTAAGTGGACCGTTTTAAAGTTTGTCCAAGAAGATGTCCGCTGAGGTAGGACCCTATGGAGTGCCAACCGCAACCCTATCTACTTGTCTACAGAACTTGTTATTTAACATAAAGTGAACATTCATCACGCATTTTATCCATCTCGACTATTCCTAAAGATGCTCGAACTAGACTTCTGATCAAGATCTTCTAATTACTTTATCTTAAAAATACTGAGATTCTTACAAACACAACTAATAGAAGAACAAAATGAATTCAGTGAAGAGTTATTCTTTCCATCTAAATTCTTTTGGTTTTACGACTCAATGGGGATTTTCAAATTGAACACACTTTATATCTAATGTTAACGTTTCAGTCATCGTCTGATAGTTGTGAAACTATTTAATCAAAGTTCATATGAAATATTCCAAAAAAATCTTCAGGTTTATTATTTTTAATCTATCTTGATAGATACTTTGGTTTTGCCTACTTTATTGAGTGGCTAAGCGTAGCTCGCTCGGATGTTTGGACTATATGTCGTATAATTTGTATGTTATTGGTCCCTCATCACCCCCTCTTGCCCTCATAATATCCACTCGACTGTGACCCATCAATAATTTGATTTTCACAAATCACAGATTTCCATTATGATTTTAGTAGTCTACATATCTGAATTTTTTTTCTTCGGGTGATAGAATTCAGAGTAAAGTTCTGCATTGGAACTGGTTAAATAACTTTCTCACTATATTGTCTTGGTATTGAGTAAGAATAAAAGTGATAACCAATGGGTCACGACTGTCCTTAACGTGTCTATCACATGTTCTCATACTTTGACATTCTGATTGGGCTGCGTATACTCTTACGGTGTTTTATGTTCACCGTATATTTTGCCACCAGGTACAATATAACTTAGCATTGTGTGGGCTAGCAACCTACTTTCAGGTGGTGTGACGTTAGTGGTAGTAGAACCAAGTGGGACATAGTGACTCGGGCAATAACAGTAGTCAAGACCAGCGTCGGGTATCTTCTTCAGTCCGTTAATCAATACTAAACCTAAGCCGAAGTTAAGATCAGTGACAACCACCAAACTGTCAAGTCAGGGACATTACACACTATGTTCCTCTGTTGTATATATTTTGACATGTTACTTATTCAAATCCACGTCTAGCTCACTCTCTTTTTAATTTCAATGGAGTGTCTGTTTGATTTTGATTCACTTGTTTGTATTCCAAATAACGGAATTGCTTTTTTGTTATGTAGCAGCCCCTTTGAATCGTATACGAGCACGTCATCGTACCAGTGTTACAGCAAATGATCAAATTGAAGAACCTAACTCTTTGCATCTTACCACAATACCTAGTACATCTGCTGGTGTATCCAATGTGGTGAATCGTGTTCGTGATCAGCAACAACGTTGGAAAGGAAATGTTGAAGCACAACGTGTTCGTGTGTTCAGTGAACGTAGTTTACTGAACTAACTTTCTATTGTTCCAATTCGTTTGCATTCCCCCCCCCGCACCCTGCCTCCCTAATAATTTCTCTATTTGGTGTAATGAAATTTGCAATAAAATCGTTAACATTATCGTTTACTTTTTCTGTAATCTTTGAAGTTGTTAATTTTCCAGCATCACTCTAATAAGGAAGTGATCTGTTAAAAATGTGGAGTTATACTATTTTTCAATGTGATAAATTTTGATTCATAATGTTTATGTATATTGCTTGTTAACAAAAAAAAATCTATTTCCAATCAGTTAACCAGAAGTTTGGTTTTACCTCGCATTATTTGGGGGGGGGGGGTGATGACTCAATCATTAATTACATGTCCAGTTTATTCTCTAGTTTATGAATCTGACTGAAATTTTATTGTTACTGATTGATAGACTATAAGTTAAGTTATCATTGCTTAAAATTAATTTTTGTTACAAGTGAAACATTCTATCCAGTTAAGACTATCACCTTAGACTTGATTGTAATATTTGAATCTGTAAATATACTCAATGGGTAATAATTGAAATAAATGGAAATACATTTAAGTGAAGGCAATGTATACAGAGTTTTGGTATTTTGGATGCTGCTCTACTGGTTTTGTAATGAATGCTGAATAAGATCTGAAGTTCAGCCATTCGTTTCTTATCACTACTCATTATTTCCAGCCTTTTCTATGTAACCATTTGAATTGAGTTTCACGTATATTAAAATACGTAGCATTAATGCCTAATATATATATATATATATATATATATATATATATGGTGCCTGTAGGTTTCAGTACCGTTTTGTTATTGCTCAGTTTCATGAAGTTCAACATTAATTGACCTAATATCAGTATACTTAACGCCGTGACCGGCAAATCTTTCTTCCTGACGTCATAATAAAAACTGTTTACCCAGCCGTGTAAGGGCTTATGAGGAATATTCGTCTGAAGTGCCATCAAACTGATCTCCAAAGATGCATGCTGTTACTACCTAACTTCGTCATAGAAGGATTTAGGTAAATAATCTTAGATACTTCTGACTTCAGATGGACTGATCTACTCTTTGGATGACACCTACTTGGCTTGTAATACACACATGACGTCCTGTTAAAAAAAACGCTGACAAAATGCAGGGTCTTCTGAACAACTTAAGCAGAACATTATCTGTGTTTGGTGTACCTTTTTCACCTATCAGATGTAAGATGATGCTTCACGACTGGTCTGCGGCTTCTTCCAGTTTAATTACAGGGAGTGAAGTGATGGAATGCATACTTAGGAAGTCGCATCAGCCCTAGGGGTTGGTTCCTGACGGGACATCGCATTGGATACAGAAGACCCCTTTGGCATTTGCCAACTTGCGTCATCTCTGGCACCGAATGGCGAGATTTCCGACTACCTGTTAGACGACGAGAATGGTGTGCAGTTGTTCGCTCTTTCATGGTATACGGCTGAGACTCGGCCACTCAAAAGTGAATCTATTCGTGATGGTCTGTTGTCTCTGTTTCTTTAGTCTTTCACTAGGTGCTTTCCTTCAAAATTCAAATTGTTTTCAAAAAAGACTCGACTGGGTTTCGGGAAGACTTGATCAAGTAGCTGGCTATATGAAAAGAACAGAAAACAGAAGCTCCAGTGTTATCATTGCAATTATAGTGCCTTTACTTCTTCCTGGAACAATAAATTATGTAGACCAGTGGTCTGCTTATCAAAGACTAAGCGCCCTAGGTTATATGCATCACATGTTTAACCACAGCAGTGACCTTGCAGACCCTGTAACAGGGACATATGGCAATTACATCGAACCGTTCTGATCACGACTCAAAAACAGAATAAGAGCAGTTCATTATTTCAAAATGAAATTATCTGCAGTCATCGAGACGAATTTATGTACCAAAGTTTATTGAAGCTGTCTACAAACACATCAGTCTATAGCTCGAATACTTTTACTCAACATGTTGCTAAAAACTACCTTACGTAAACAACATACCACACGCTTTGTATATTTCTTATGTCGTAGTGTTACGATTGATTGTTGAAGATAATATATCGGGTGATAGGAAGCGGACCAAGTGGAAATCAACATTTTGAGTCATCTGCCGCTGCGGTAGAATTTTTTATTTCAATTTTTGTTTCATGTCATTCTCTGGTCAACAAAACCTTATTGGACAACTTAATCATACTGGTGACCAATCACTATAAGTTATTTAGCTTTCGATAATGGTGGTTTTATACATTCATGAAAACCGTACATGCATGGTGTTTTTGTCGAACAAATTGTCTTCTTCACAGTCACAGATCAGTCTTGTCTTCAGATATCTTCGTAGCTCGTTGAACTATAAAGTAGTGAGGGAGAATAGTCACTACTCTTACCCATTCCAAGTGTCTCGCTGCATTATTATTGTTCAGGTATTTTTCTTTTATCATTTCACCTGGTCACTTCAATTGGAGGCGGATTTCGGTTACATTTTGCCATATTTTTTTTCCATTGAATGGTCTCAAACCTATTTTGCAACTTCAACAAACCCGAAATGAAGCATCTCAACCGAAATTAGTCAAAGCTCTAACATATAAATTATTAGTTCAATCGCCATCAACTTCTCATTCAGAAAAATATGAAGGCACCTTTAATTCCATCAGTCAGTGTAACTATGATCCAATATCTGGTCTCATAGTTGATTCAACGTTGAATCAATGTGAAGATGTTTTTCGTATTGAATGCCGCATGTTCGACAATACAGTCAAAGTTCGATTAACTTGATACTACAATTGAATACAATTAATATGTCAATTTTATTCTGCTGAAGAACCCTCGTGAATTGTCATTTGATGAAACTATTAATATTCTATCTCAAAGTTTTGGTGAACATTCCATTCCAACTACTAGTATTTAGTGACAGTGCTTTCAGATATCAGAATTACCTTCTGAAGAGTATGTGACCTATACTGGTAAAGTCAATCATGAATGTGAGCAACTCAGAACCAATGAAATGACATCTGATTGGTTTAAATATTTGATTTTTATTCGTGGTCCACAGATCCCTGAAACTAGTAATATTCGAGCCAGACTGTTGTCATATGTCGATAAGGGTCCTAAAACGACTTTACAGATGGTGAAAACAGAATGTCGACGCTTAATCAACTTGAAGCATGTAGACAACACTAGCTGTAACCGAAAACCACTGTAGCAGCTGACAAAGTAGAATAACCGCTCATATAGTTTAGCAGGTCAGAACTGTGCACCAAATCAGTGAACAACCAGCAGGAACTGGCTTGCTGTCTTAGTCTTAGAATTTTCAGCTCAACTCCAGTTAAGTGAAATGGGCAGCTGTTCGTCCCCACTCGCTAATTGTGCTATTGGGAGTTTGAGTTGTGTGAGACTTCACCGTTAAAAAAGTCAAAAAAATCTTCAGGACTAGTGCTTGGAAAATGTGCTTTATATTTCCTATTAGAAGCACTTTCTAGACATTTTTTGTGCGAAAGTAGATTGTTTATATCATAGAAACAAGGTGTAATCATCCAGGTACGAAACGAAGTCAGTAAATAGGTTGCTTTAGAACATATACCTGTTGTAAGGCCCCAGTTTTGCATAAAACATTTTTAACTTGCCATTTTGACAGCATGACTAGTAGTTCATTTTCTACCCTCATTGTAATGTAATTCGCTGATTGGTTAATCCGTACTCTATGTCAATGTCTCAAATTGCGGACAAGGTCATGTTTCATGTGTGTAAATAGTCGCGTGATTTTGAATTGACTGATTATTATTATTTTCTCGGAGGAATAAACTCTCCGATCATCTAGCTCCGGTCTTCTTCTGTGTTCGTCCCTGGTTGCAGTTGGTGGCTGTTGTGTACGAAGTTAACTGTCAGTTAAGCGTGCGTATTATATCTGTTCAGAATATATAACAATGCCGATTTATTTGATCTCTGATGTTGCAAAATTCATAAAGTAATGAATGAATTACCCCATGATTTGCCTTGTGTAACTCACGATATGGATTTCTGACCGGTATCTTGCGAAACCAATCTTCTGGTCTCTGTGGGACAGTCGAAGTAACTCAGTCGAATGTAGACTACTCATTCACGTAGGCCAGACTGACTACTTTAAGGCTTTATATATGACTTACTCTTCATGAAGTCACAATCATTAGGTACAAATGTCTAGTTACTGATATAGATGGAGAAGTAGTTCCTTAATCGACTCTAGTTATTAAGAGTTGACTGCTACCTATTCGAGTGATTTCCAATGAAGAGCGATGAACCTAACGAATATACTTTGAACTCACTTATGTTTTCATATTTACAAAAAGTACACTGGTTTTACCAACTGTCTGTCACTATTATACGAAGATAATCTTAAAATATGGAGGAAAAACTTAGTTTTACGGATATCTATCCTCGCAGAAAGTGTACAGTGTTCTCAGGTCATTTCTTAAAACGTTGATAGAACTAGCTTCTTATTTATTCGTAGGTGCATAAGATGCGTATATTCACCGTACATTGTTATTTTCCATACTTGAAAAGAGGCCCAGGCTACTTCGAATAGGCAGCTGATTACAACACGATCGGTTCTGTATTATGAAGTGTAGGCTGGTGGGTAGTTGTAAAATAGCAGATGTCTAGAGCAAAATCACAATCAGAGTAAGATGAGATGCAAGGTAGTAGGCACACTTCGTGCACATGAAGTGAGAAGTATGTATTCCATTTATAGCGGTTCAACCTTGGATAGATACTTAGTCAAGAGGTTAACCAGGTAATAAGTAAGTAACAGTTACATAAAAGTACCTATACAGTTTGGCATTACAAGACATACCATGAATTTCATGTCACTATAGAGCTATTTTTAGAAGGATTTCCTAGTTAGCCGTAATCCCTTTATTTCAAGTTGCGTGTAATGCAAACATATCGGCGATACTACTTCATTAGGTTTACACACCAACATTCTATTTTATGTTGAGTCATTGTTCCTGAATTGGTTGTCAACGTATTCATGAACACCCCACCTATGAATTGCAGCCGACAAACAACTTTCGCAAAACATAAGATACCAATAGTAGATCTCTTTGAATTCCTTTGTGTACTATAAGTTTTACCTCAGGTACCAGCATGAAAACCACCGAGTTGTATCCTTTTAGAAGTAACTAGTTGTGTGCACTCTTCAGAAGTTAAGTTCTTGAGGTGAATGCTAACTGGGTCTTTCACGAAGTTGAATGTTTGCAAGATAGTTATTGAAATGCAAGGTGCCACACTTATACGGCTTAAAAGGGAGCTGTCACGTCGCACTCCAGATGAAAAAATAATTAGGTCATCTTGAATTTGAGTGAAACATTCCTTCGTTTCTTTGTATGGAAAACTTCAAGCCATCACTCGAAAGATGTGGTGTGATAGACCTAATAGTGCTACTGATGCCGTTCACGCATGGTAGGGATACAAGTGATCCTACCACACTACTCTGGATGACGCTACGCTGTGTGGGACCAGGGTGGGAGTAGCAAATGCTGGTTTCATCACTTGAGAGTAAACCTCCTGGAGTGTTCTGAGGCAGGGGAGAAGAGGGTCTTGAAATCTATAGGACTCCGACCAATCAGTCAGGTGTTCGTGAGGGAATCCATCAAAAGTCTGCTTGTAGTCATAGAAAACGATGGTGACTTGTAGACTGTGGTTATGTTTACTCTTGACATGGT